GGTTTGAGAAGCGCGGCACTCGTTTCAAGCGGCTGATCATGGACTCGCACGAGCATGGAGAGCGGGAGGAGGGGATCCGGCGTGTTGTGTTCTGCTCTGGCAAGGTGGGTGTTTGTTTGACTTGAAGGTGAGAGAAGGGGCTTAGTTTGGAGTAGGGAGGGATGGAAAAGCACAGCCCGCGCTGCAAGTCGCCCCTCTCAGAGTTCAACGACCGCCAGGGCACGCCCGGGTTTGAGAAGCGCGGTACACGGTTCAAGCAACTCATCATGGACTCGCACGAGCACGGGGAAAGGGAGGAGAGCATTCGCCGCGTCGTGTTCTGCTCTGCCAAGGTGGGCTTTTGCTTCTGCTTTTCCTTTTTGCTTTTTTTTAGAAGCGTAGAGAAGGGTTTGGGAGTAGGGGGGTGGAAAAGCACAGCAAGCACAGTCCGCGCTGCAAGTCGCCTCTGGACGAGTTCAACGACCGCCAGGGCACGCCCGGGTTTGAGAAGCGCGGCACGCGGTTCAAACGGCTGATTATGGATCCGTACGAGCATGGAGAGCGGGAGGAGGGCATTCGCCGCGTCGTGTTTTGCTCAGGAAAGGTGGGTGTTTTTTTTTTTTTTTTTTTTTTTTTTTTTTTTAGGATGGTTAAAGAGGGGTATTGGAATATGGAGCTGTGCCTACCTGCTTGTCAAATGGAAATTGGTATTTCTTTATCATTCTACACGCAATCCACACTGCTCCAATGCAGGTATACCTACCTGCTCGTACCATGGAAGCTGATATAACACAGTTACTGTATGCTCAATCCACCCGCACATGTTGTTCCAATGCAGGTGTACTATGAGCTGGAGGAGGAGAGGGAGCGGCTGGGAGCAGATGACGTGGCGCTGGTGAGGGTGGAGCAGATCTGCCCCTTCCCCTTCGACCTCGTGCAGCGCGAAGTGCAGCGCTACAGCAGTGAGTGTTTTATTTTTTTGTTTTACTGATAAGGATGGACTTAAGAAGTAGCAGGGGGAAGGGGAAGGTTGCTGGTGAGTGACATGTTATCCTGAATCTTGTTCAGGTCAATATGGATGCAGAAAACAGAACACACAGGGGCATGTGCTGATGTGTTGTCCTTCAGAGAGCTGGGGTGGTGTGACCCTGGAAGTATCAGCAAACATGGGAGGTTATTCCTTCCCGAAATTAGAAGTTGTTGGGGGATAGTTACTGGTCAACCTTCCTCTTCACCATGTTTGTCGACCTCCTTGCAGAGGCTGAGGTGGTGTGGACGCAGGAGGAGCCAATGAACATGGGGGCCTACGCCTACGTGGCACCGCGTTTCGCCACTGTTCTGCGCAGTGTCAACCGGGGCGGCTTTGAGGATGTGAAGTACGTCGGGCGGCCTCCTTCGGCTTCTACTGCCACTGGTTTTGCGTCGACGCATGTGAAGGAGCAGAAGGAGCTTGCGAGCAAGAGCTTTCAGAAGGAGGAGATCCGCCTGTTTCCCTAGATACCGTTAGTTTACTTATTGTAAAGTCGGCTGCAGGTTCGACACTTGTTTGTCATGTAAATGCACTTTCTTGCGGGAGCACGTACAACGTCGTTGCTGAAAGCGTGCGACTTTGTATGTTGATTGCTTTGTGGATTATGAGGTGGGATCAGAAATAAGTGGTAGAAAACAGAAGAAAAACGTTGTGCTAGCTCTAAATGAAATTTCTTTAACGCGAATGCTTGACTAGCTTGTGAAACGATCCCTGTGGGGAATTTTGTTCGCAATATTGCAACAGGCGTTACTGGTCGGTGGAGGGAGCGTTTGCTGAATCGATCGGAAAACAGTAAATCCATGTTTGCTATCCAATGAGGGAGATGGAAGTGCTATCTATTGACGCCGCGGTTACCGTTTGCGCCAAAACCAAGAAATGCAATTGGGCAGCGTGAGCCCCGCTGCCGAATTCTCAGAATCCGAGCCGCTGTATTCTACACCCGAACCGCATTTCTGCCTGGGAATTCCACATTTTCCGTGATTTCGACATTGACTTGACATCGGCGATTCTTCTGACTGCCCTTGCATGTGCCATTTTCTATTCTGTCCGTTTGCAAATTGCGCCTGATTTTGCACAGCACAGCACAGCAGCACCACAGCGCGGCACAGCACAACAGCACAGCACCACACCGCACCATGGTTTAGCACAGCACGGCAGCACACCACAGGTCCAGAGCACAGCACAGCACCACACACACACAGCACCCCCTGGCATCCCCTGTCTCGTCGGCTCAAGAGCATATCCAGCCCAAGTGAGCTGTAACCGCCCCTCCTCGCCCTCCCTTCATCACCACCAACTTTGGGAGCAGGGATGCTTGACCCTGGGCCTGCATAGCCTTCATCGGTCGGCAAAATCCACCGACGAAGCAACGGGGGGTCGATCTGGAACAGGTCGCGCGCGCGGACCCGTCCGCCCTCAGTCAGCTCTCGCCTGGGAGAGAAGAACAAGGTGTGGCTCTGTCGAGTCGAGGAGGCCAAATGCAGTCGGTCACGGCGAAACCCCTTTCACTTGTTCGCTTCACAAGCTTTGTTCGCTCCACAAGTTTCCCTCAGCATGTCGAGCCCGAATGAGTTAATGCGACTCGGAGTACCACTAGCCTCGATCAGCCTTAGACTCCTCGAATAGCGTCTCACTCCTCCTGCGTCCTGCACGTGCTTTCTCGTCTAACGCAGAACGGGCTTAACGGATAAACACACCGTGTCGGGTCCACCAGTCTGCTAACCCGTTGAAATTTCCTCCTACTAGCAGCTGTAGTTCTGCCAATGCTGAAGGAATCAAGGAGCTGCCTTGCCGCGAGTCCACAATGTGACTCTCCTTCGTTCCTCGTTCCCCTAAGCCCGAAATTCTTCCCTCGCATGGCATCCGACGGCCAGGATCGCTTTTCAGCTGGCACCATATCATCACCACCATCATCAGCACCGCCGCGCGCGTCATCAACGCGCGGGACCTTCACGGAGTCATTCCGAGGAAGCTCGCGTTGCGAGCCGACTCGGAACACTGCACTCAAACAAATCACGTCACTCCAGAATTCGCCTTCGAGGAGGAGAGGATTCGAGGCCCAACACAGAGGGTCCCCTGCTGTGACTACACAATCGTGCAGCCGCGGAGAATCGCTGCCGCATGATGCGCCTGCGGATGGTTTGCGCAAAGGGTCACCTTCCAATGCCGCGGAGCCACCTGTGCCAGTGGGCGAATCGCGCAGCCGCGGAGATTTGCTCCTGCTGGACCTCGGATCTCCGCGCCTGCGCCCGCGCCTGCGCCTGCCCCTGCGCGAGCCGCCCGCAGACGGGTGCTCGTCTGCGGCCGCCGCCGGTAATTCGCTCTTCCGCTGCCCCGCGACCCGAAGGCGCCGCCCAGCGATCGTTCTCAGAAGGGACCGTTGCGCGGCAACAAGCGTCGAAACCGCGGCGGCGGGGCATGAAGGCGCCTCGGGAAGCACGGGCAAGCCGGCGGAGATGGCGGCGGTGATGGCGGCGGCGATGGCGGCGGCGATGGTTCCGGCGATGGCGGATGCATCCCCAATCGAGCGCGTCGAGGGATTGGAGCGTGCCGTGACTTGTACGTCAACTCAAGAGCGCGCCGAGCGCGTTGTGCATCCCACTGCTCCGACGAAGGTTGCGAGTGATTCGCGCTGCTCCCACTCCCCATCCCCCCCTTCCTCCTCCCCTTCGCCTTCCTCCTCCTCCTCCCCTTCGCCTTCCCCGTCCGCCGCCTCCTCCTGCTCCGCCGCGTCCCCCGCAATCGCGCAATCTGCCTCCCCCTCGTCATCCTCATCCCCCTCGTCATCCTCATCCCCATCCACCTACTCCTCCGCTTCTCCGCAATCGTCGCGCCCATCTGCTTCCCCGCAATTCACCTCCGCTTCCCCACGCGCACTCGAGCTGCCCATCAGCGTCTGCAGCCCATCCGCAATCCACGCGGAAGCTCCGCGCACGTCCGCGTCCGCGCACCGTTCCGCATCCCCGCAGCCCCCATTCTCCGCAGTACTTCAACTGCCCGCGCTTTCCTTGCCGCATTCCGCCGCGCCCGTCACGCCGTCCCCCCAACCAGTCCCTGCCGCTTCCCCCCGCCTCCAATCGTTTCCCCGCCCCGAGTCAGTGGTAACCAGCCCGCATTTCGCCCAGCCTCGCTCCTCTTCCGCTACCACCACCACTGCTGCAGCCACCTGCCAGTCTTTGGTTGATGCCGTTGCAGCTACCATTCCCTTTGGCCTGTCTTCTCAGCCAATCGCATCAGTTCATTCCGCGCAGCCCGACCCTTCCTCCGCGCACGCGCATTCCGCAAGCGCCTCCCCCCCTCCCTGTTCCCCCGCGCCCATTCACCGCCCCTCCTCCAGCTCCCGCGCCGCCTCAAAGTACCGTTTCGCGCGGAAGCTCCGGGTTCGAATCCCGGCGGTGGCATGTTGCAATTTGGACCCTGTTGATATGGACGCTCTGTGGGAAGAACTGGCGTTGGGGGAGGGGGAGGAGGGGGAGGATGGGAAGGGGAAGAGAAGGAAGGAAACGCGCTCCCAGTCAAATCGGAAGAAGAGAGGGAGGGAGATATTTTTTGAGTTTAGTGGAAAGAGAAGGGAGAGGGGGGAGGTGGAGGAGGAAGAGAGGGGGGCGTGGGGCGAGCAGCAGCAACAGGATTGGTTAGGAACTGAAGGGGGGAAGGAGGGGTTGAGTGAGGGGAGAGTATGGCGGAAGTCAAAGTCTTGTAAAACGATAGAGACATTCAAGGAGTGTCCAGAATTGCCTGCGAAACAAAGAGGGGGAGAGGCGAGGGCATGGCGGAAGGCCAAGTCTTGGAACCCGAGGGAGTGGAGCAGCGTGAGCAAGACTTGGGGGAGAGAGGAGTCCGTGTGGGGGAGAGAGGAGTGCGTGGGAAAGGGGGTCTGCTTGGAGGCCGTGGGGGAAATTGATACTCCTGCTGCTGCTGCACGTTGCAGTGTCCGAGGAACTGCGAGCAGCGGGATGGATGAATGCTCAGCAGATTGTGTTGAGGCCGCTCAGCAGCGGAACTGCTTCAACTTCCCCAGGCTGCCGAGTCCAAGGGTGTTCAGCCCGAGAGTGTTCAGTTCCGGATTCCGAAGTCCAGCTACTAAACGAACAGCAGCAGCACCAGCACCACCCACACCAGCAGCAGCAGCACCACCACTCACACCAGCAGCACCAGCACCACCGCTCACACCAGCAGCAGCAGCACCACCACTCACACCAGCAGCACCAGCACCACCGCTCACACCAGCAGCAGCAGCACCACCACTCACACCACCAGCACTCTTGTCTTCGTCCATTGCTCCTGACAATCACGAATGGGAGAGCCCTCGCAATCCTGCTCCTTCAAGTGATCCCCATGCTGCAGCCAAGACAGCGATTGCTGCGGGCGGCGATGCAAGCTGCGACGTGGGCGGCGATGTGGCCGGGGATATGGGCGGCGATATGGGCGGCGGCAGGGCCCCCGCGCGTCATAATAGTGATGATGATGGTGACTGTGATAATGATGATTGTTCTTTCGCTCCTCTGATTGGTGACGAAGGCGGCAAACTCGTGCCTATAAAGAGCCTCCCTTTAGCGAGGACAAGGAGCACCCCGGATCTTGACCAGGCTCGGGTGCAAGCAGAGCAATCAGAGCAATCAGAGAGCAGCAATTTCCTCCCGGCCATTCCCATCCACCTCCGCCGAACCCGCAGCACCGCTCATGTGAGAAGGTTCAGCCCCGGCCCTGGCGGCAGCAGCAGCAGCAGAACCAGAGTCAGCAACAACATTAGCGGCACCCACAGCAGCCAGAAAAGCAGCACCAGCACCAGCAACGGAACCAGCAGCAGCACTGAAGGTGGTGACAGCCAAATTCCCATCCACCTCCAAAGCACCCGCCGCTGCATCCACGTCAGGAGCAGCAGCACAAGCAGCGTTTACAGGAGCATCAACAGCAGCGGCACTCGCACCACCACTACCACTGGCATCCGAACTTCCGCCCAGCTCCAAAGGACAAGAAGTGGCATAAATACCCGCAACGAAAGTAACAGCAGCAGCAACAACAGCAGCAGCAGCGACAACAGCAGCAGCAACAACAAGAGTACCAGTTCTGCTGCTGCTCCTGACATGAGGTATTTAAGCCACCTGCGAAGGACAAGAAGCGGTGTTCATATTCGCAGCAGCAGCAACAGTACCAGCTCTGCTGCTGCTCCTGACCGCAGGAATACTGGACACTTGCAAAGGGCAAGAAGCGGTTTACCGGTTGCTCCCGCCGCTCCTGCAGCAACAGTATGCTTCGTGCTCTCATTCGAAGAACGGCGGTGCAAGCAACAGCAGGAGCAGCAGCAACAGCAGGGGGAAGAGGAGGAAAATAACTCCTCACATGTATCCGTTGGACCTCAAGATTTTAAGGGGTCACACGCGTGCGAACAGGTCAAGGGAGTGACGACATCTGGAGAAGGAAAGAACCAGCCAGACAGGTCTGCTGCGAGACCTGGAGAAGTTTGGACTGCTGGAAGAACCGAGGGCGCCTTGTGCCTTGACACTGACACCGAGAAAGCAGGGAAACGAGAGGAGTCCACTCCTGAGAATTCTCAGAAACAGCTTGCAGATGGTGGTGACACCGGAGGGAGTGGTGGTGACACCGGAGGGAGTGGTGGTGACACCGGAGGGAGTGGTGGTGACACCGGAGGGAGTGGTGGTGACACCGGAGGGAGTGGTGGTGACACCGGAGGGAGTGGTGGTGATACACTTGATGAAGGGGGCGTGGGCCTTGATGGGCGTGGGAGGAAGAGTCAGCATGGTGTGCAGCAATGTGCGGAGGAGGCAACCGTTGATGAAAGCGGGAAGAGTCAGGACGGCGTGCGAGGTGCTTTAGCAGCAGAGGGGCCAGCCCTGCTGTCAAGGCTTGGGAGGCTTGGAGACCTTAGCGGCGGAAAGGGCCTATGGAGTGGTACAGGGGGAGGCAATAGAGGGGATGAGGATGGTGGGAAGAAGAGCTATGGAGGAGGGCGGAACCAAAGTAGCAGGTGGAGGTTCAAGTGGTTCTCTCATTGCAGTATCAGGTGGAAGGCTTTTATTCGTAAGCTGGGTAAGGTCTGAATGTGAAGCATCTCAGGATATGCAAACTGGTTGCAGCCGGAAAATTCAGTTTTCCAACTTAGCTTCTTGTTTTGTACAGCTAACACATTTTGGTCAAACGGTAGTTCGGTACATGTATTTGACTTCTTACTAGTAGTGATAAACTGGCATACCACCAGTGCCATCAATCAACCAACCATACACTCGACTAACACTTAGAGCTCATTCGAAAACCCTGTCGCTTCGCATTCCCAAATAGACGGGCAAACACAGCAGCAACATCACCACTAACCTGTCTGCAATCACCTCACCTCACCTCACTGTGTCAATTACACGCTCGTCACACCCCTTCTCTTCCACACCCGAATCACCTGCCATGCCCCTTACCACGACAACACCTCACCAGCTTCCGCCCACGCACCTCTCCTCCCACCTCTCCAACTCCCGCCACGCCAATTAACCCCTTGGATCCCCCTGCCCCACCACGACACCTCACCAGCTTCCGCCGACACACCTCTCCAGTACTCCCTGCTTGTCAAGGTGTCCCGAGACTAGCAGGCATCTTGCTGAAACCACCACTGACACACAAGCTGGTAAGCTGGTAAGCTGACCTACAGACTCACAACCGTTGACCATGCACACCCCCTGTTAGCCAGTCTCTCTCCTTCGAGTTCGGGAGTAAGCCTTTTTTTAGTCGACTCAAAAACTGACCCACAAGCTAGTAAGCTGAAACACAGACTCACAACTGTTGACCATAAACACCCCCTGTTAGACAGTCTCTCTCCTTCGAGTTCGGGAGTAAGCCTTCCCATACCTCCCGGTCTCCTTCTCCTCTTTCCCTCCTGCCTTCTCCTTCTCTTTTCCTCCTGCCTTCTCCTTCTCTTTCCCTCCTGCCTTCTCCTTCTCTTTCCCTCCTGCCTTCTCCTTCTCTTTCCCTCCTGCCTTCTCCTTCTCTTTCCCTCCTGCCTTCTCCTTCTCTTTTCCTCCTGCATTCTCCTTCTCTTTCCCTCCTGCCTTCTCCTTCTCTTTCCCTCCTGCTCTCTCCTTCTCTTTCCCTCCTGCCTTCTCCTTCTCTTTCCCTCCTGCCTTCTCCTTCTCTTTCCCTCCTGCCTTCTCCTTCTCTTTCCCTCCTGCCTTCTCCTTCTCTTTCCCTCCTGCCTTCTCCTCCTCTTTCCCTCCGGCCTTCTCCTTCTCTTTCCCTCCTGCCTTCTCCGTCTCTTTCCCTCCTGCCTTCTCCTTCTCTTTCCCTCCTGCCTTCTCCTGCCGCTCTTCCACTCCTCGCCTTCCCTCTTTTTCCTTCCCTCTTTGCTGCTGCTTTCCCCGACGCGACTGGAGTGTCGACTCAACCGAAGCCACTTTGTGTCTGCCTCCACCCGCTTTCACCTTCCCAGTCCCACGCCCATCACCCAGCTTCTTCACATCACCCACCTTCTTCCCACCAACGCTGCCTGCATCTTCCTCCTCCTCACTGCTCTCCTCCCCCTCCTCTTCTTCTTCACTCCCTTCCTCTCCCTCTTCTTCCTCCTCTTCCTCTTCTTCCTCTTCTTCTTCCTCCTCCTCCTCATCCTCCTCGTTCTCTCTCCTCCCCTCCCTGCTGTTTCCAAGCATGCCACGAGTCATCCTTCTCGGTCCTAGCACCACAAGGGCTGGTTGTTCTGGAGTCTTCTTCGTCTTTTGGGGCTGCTTCACTTGGGATGACTTTTGAGTCGACTCAAGAGTCACTCCTCTCGCTCCTAGCACCGCAAGGGCCGGTTGTTCTGGAGTTTTTTACTCTTGGGCTCGCTTCTCCTGGGTCGGCTTTTTTCGGCTCACCTTCCCATCGGTCGGCCTTTCTTGGCTTGACACCGACCCACGAGTAACCTTCTTCCTCTCAGCACGCCTATTTCCACCCCTATCACTCTCACTGTCCCTCTCACTCTCGCTCTCACTCTCACTCTCCCTCTCACTCTCACTCTCACTGCCACCACTCTCCTCGCTGTCATCAAGTCTAACGGCTTCCCCTCGGCGTCTCCCCTTCTCACTCACACTCCCTTTCCCTTTCCCGTTCGCTTTCCCTTTCCCTTTGCCATTCCCATTTCCTTTTCCCTTCTTCACGCCTTTCCCTGCCTCTCGTCCCACCAACCTCTGCCCTTGCACCTTACCGCCTCCCTGCCCCCCAACGCTTTTCCCTCCCCGACCCTCCATCCTCTTCCCTCTCAACGAAACGGTACCACCACCACCCTCTTCCTCCTCACTCTTTTCTTCCTCCTCCTCACTCTCTTCCTCCTCCTCCTCCTCCTCCTCCTCCTCCTCCTCCTCCTCCTCCTCCTCCTCCTCCTCCTCCTCCTCCTCCTCCTCCTCCTCCTCACTCCCTTCTTCCTCCTCCTCTTCCTCTTCCTCTTCCTCCTCCTCACAATCCTTCTTCCTCCTCTTCATCTGCGCTTTCTTCCTTCCCTTGCTGCTACTCCCAATACGAATCTCGAGCCTTCCATTGTTAACCCATCCTTCCACCCTCCATTCGTCCTCACTATCCCTATCACTCTCATCCTCCTCCTCCTCCTCCTCTTCCTCTTCCATCTCTGCACCTTTTCTCTTCCGCATTCGCCCAGCCCTCGTTGCATCAACAGCACCACCACTCCGGCCCTTCCCTTTGGTGAGCAGCTTCCCCTTGCGAGGTGACTTTTCAGTCGACTCAAAAGTCACCCCCTTCCCTTTGGTGAGCAGCTTCCCCTTGCTTTTTCTCCCATGACTTCCCCTCCACTCCCTGCTATCCCCCTCACTCTCCTCCTCGCTCTCTTCCTCTTCCCCCTCGCCCCCCGCTTCCTCTTCTTCCTCCCTTTCTTCTTCCTCCTCATCCTCTTCCTCCTCGTCCTCCTCTTTTTCCCTGCGCGGTTTCTTAGCATGGGCATTACGAGCACCACCAACTCCTCCTTTCACTTTAGAAGCCATCCTTTTGTTGCTGCTCCTCCCACGCACTTTTCTTTCCTCCTCACTATCCTCTTCACTCTCCTCCTCTTCTTCGTCCTCATCCTCTCCCTCCTCCTCATCTTCCTCCTCCTCTTCCTTCTCTTCCTCCTCTTCCTCCTCACTCACCTCCCCTTTCTTCCGCGATTTTCCAGTTAGGGTTTCAATAGCAGACCTGCCTCTGCCTTTTCCTTTACTAATCACCCTCCCCTTGCTGCCCTTTCCACGGACTTTCCTTTCATCCGCACTGTCCTCCTCTTCCTCCTCGTCCTCCTCTCCCTCTTCATCCTCCTCTCCTTCCTCCTCGTCCTCCCCCTCCTCTCCCTCTTCTTCCCCACTACTACTCCCCTCCCCAATCACCTCCTCCTCCTCTCCCTCCTCTTCTTCTTCCTCCTCCTCCACATCCTCCCCTCTCCCACGCTTCCTACCCCTTCGTCTCCAACCCTCTCCATCACTTTCGCCCTTCCCACCCCTCCCGCCCATCCCACCCTTCCCACCCTTCCCACCCTTTCCCCCCATCCCATTCCCCCCCTTCCGCCTCCCTCCCTGCCTGCACTCCGTGCAGAACCAAGCAGCTTTGGCAGCCATTCGCCTCAGCCCCGCACACACAGGGTGAAACGCCTTACCGCACTGCACCGCCGCACACCGCACCACCTCCCTTGCCCCAGCCTCCCCTCCCCCTGCCCCCACTGCCTCTCCGCAAGAAGCGCAGAGGGAAGGAGGCAGCAGCTTAGGGGAAGCAGCTGCTGGCAAAGCAGCAGAAGCGGCGGCGGCAGTAGCAGCAGGGGAAAGAGACGGATTGCCCTTGTTGTTCCCATTAGAAGCAGCCTGGCGACCTGATACCTTCCCCTTCACCTTCCCCTTCCCATTCCCCTTCCCCTTCGCCTTCCCCTTCCCCTTCGCCTCACCACCACCTCTCGCCCTCAGCTTCCTGCCTCCCACCGTCGTGATACCCTGATCTTCCTCCTCTTCTCCTTGCCCCCCCAACTTCCCTGAGGCCCCAGCCTCCGACTCCTCCCCTTCCATATCCTCATCCTCCTCCTCCTCGTCTTCAGATGTCTCGGTGTTTCTCTTGCCTCTGCCCCCCTGCTTTCTCCTACTCTCCCTAGATTTCGTCCCACTCCCCCCAATTTTCCTCTTCCCCTGCTTCTTCCTTCCACCACCACTTTTGGCCAAATCCCTTTTCTCCAACACCTCTTCCTCCTCATCCTCACTTTCCCCCTTCTCCTCCTCACTCCCTTCACTCCCCTCTTCCACCACTTCCTCTCCTCTCTTTTCTCCCTCCTCACTCTCTTCGCTCCCATCGTTTGATACCTCCTCGTCCTCTCCTCTCTCCTCACCTCTCCCCTCTCCTCTCTCCGTAACTGAGTGAAGCTTGGAAGCGTCAAGGGCCTTGCATCGTTCTCTGTGACGGGTATGGGAGGAAGGAAAAAGGGGAAAGACGTGTGGTGGAACAAGGGTGGATGACTGAAAGGGACCAGGCCCAATACCCCCTCGCCCTTTTCCCCTTCTTCCCGCTCACCATCCTTCTCTGTGTGAAGCTTGGAAGCGTCAAGGGCATTGCATCGTTCTCTGTGACGGGTAAGGGAGGAAGGAAAAAGGGGAAAGACGCGAGGAATGATCCCTCTTCGTCCTCCTCCCTCCCTCCTCTCACCATTCTTCCCATTGCGTAGCGTCGAAGCATCAAGCGCATCTCATCTCTCATCTCTCTCTGTGGCGAGTGAGGCAGAACCTGAGAGGGGCAGCTAGTGCAAGGGGAGCACACCTGAGAGAAGCAGGTAGCCCAACTGGGGAGCACACCTGAGAAAGGCAGCGAGGTAAGTGAGGGTGGCGAGCGTGCGAGCACCCTCCCTCCTCCACACACTTCTCAGTCCAAAGAGCCCAAAGGGAGGTATGCCTGTGAATTCTCAAAAGCGAGTCAAACATACCTGAGGGATGCAGCGAGGTAAGTGAGAGTGCCGAGAGTCCGAGCTCCCATCACCTCCCTCTTCCACACGCGCCGCACTCGCCTCGACCGCCACAAGCACCGCGACGCAGACGGGCCCTTCAGCCCCTCCTCCTCCTCGTGCTCCTCCGCCTCTTGAGGCGCCTCAAAAGCTAGTCCAAGGGAAACATACCTGAGCGCGGCAGCTAGTGCAAGGGGGGCAGGTCCAACGGGGTAACACACCTGAGGGAGGCAGCAAGGTAAGCGAGGGTGGCGAGTGTGCGAGCAGCCATCACCTCCCTACGCCACACGCGCCGCACTCGCCTCGACCGCCACAAGCACCGCGAGGCAGACGGGCCCTTCAGCCCCTCCTCCTCTTCATGCTCCTCCGCCTCACTCACTGTCCCTGCATCTTCATCCTCCTCCTCCTCTTCCTCCTCCTCCACCTCCTCCCCCTCCTCGTCTGCTCCCTGGCCACCCTTCCCTGCTTTCTCAGCACCCCTCCCCCTTCTCGAACCTCCCGCTCCTTCAACCCTCTCCTCTCCCTCACTCCCTCCCTCCTCCTTCTCCCCTCTCCCCCACCTCTCGCCTCTCGCCTCCCCAAGAGCACCGCCACACAGCTTGAACCCTGCCACCTCAGCGCACAGCAGCAGCCGCCGCAGCGCTGCCACCTGGCGCGCCAGCTGGACGCGCTCACTGCTGACTCCCTTGACTGGTTTGACTCCTCCTGCCTCTCCTCCTGGCTCTGCTCCTACCTCTGCTCCTGCCTTTTCTTCTCCTCCCTTTTCTCCTCCTTCCTTTCCTCCTTTTGCCTTTCCTCCTCCGACCTTTCCTGCTCCTGCCTCTACTCCTGCTTCTGCTGCTGCTGGTTCAGCTGTTGCAGTATCTGCAGCAGCAGCAGCAGCGGTTGTACCAGCAGCAGCAGGAGCACGAGAGTCCAAACGATTTTTGCCGCCCATCAAGACAGCTAAACCAGAGGAGCTGTGAAGGCCCCCCAATTTGATTTGATCCGATTTAGGAGGGGCAACGGCAGTAGCTTTGCAGACTAGAGCGCCCCAAACACCCCAACTGGGAGCATATGTCGCAGCTTTAGCTGTAGCTGTGGCTGCCTTGCTTCTTGTGCCAGCAGCAGCACCACCAGCAGCAGCAGCAGGAGAAACACTACCAGCAGCAGTAGTAGGAGCTGGTACGAGCACAGAAGCAGCAGCAGCCGTGGCTGCAGCAGGAGGAGGAACCGCCTTAAGCCTCTCCAAAACCGCTCTCAACCCCTCCAATTGCTCCCGGAGCTTCTCTCCTATCAGACTCGCCTCCCCCTTCCACCTCTCTTCCTCTTCCCGTTTCTGCCCCACCTCTCTCTCCGCCTCCACCCCATCAGACCCAGACCCTTTTTCCTCCACTTCTTTGTTCTCTTCCCCTCTCATCTTCTCGCCATCCTCCTCACTATCCCTTTCCTCCTCCACCTCTACCTCCTCCTCCTCTTCCCCTTTCCCGCCCTCCCCTTCCCCTCCTCCACCTCCTCCACCCTTCCCCTTCTCCCTCCCCCCCACACCAGGCCCCCTTTTCTTCATCCCCGCTATAAGCCTCCCCTTGACCTTCTCAAGTGCTGCTTTCAGTGCCGCCTCTCGTATCCCCTTTTCATTCAGACTCGCTATAAGCTCCTCTATATCCTCGCGGTAAGTGTAGCAGAACCAGCGAGAACAACCGGCCCACCCCGTCCCCACCTCACCTCCCACCCCTCCTCTCTCACTTCCTCCCTCGCCTCCTCCTTCGCTCCCTCCTCCTCGCCACACCTCCCCTTCTCCCACCATCCCTCCTCTTTCCTCCACCCACACCACCTTAGGTTCCCCACTGAGCAGCCAGTACCGGTTATAATGCCTATCCAATCCCAGGGGCACTGTTCTGACCACCAGACGAGCCATTTCCTTTTCATACGCCTCCTCTCGCTTCTTCCACTCCTCCTCTCGCTTTCTCTCCTGTGCCATGCGCTGGGGGAAAGGGAAGGGAGGGAAAGTGAGGAGCAGGGGCTTGTGAAAAACGAGCACTTTTCTTTGCATGCACCTGAGCAGGATCCTCCTGCAGCAAGCCCCCTATTTTGAGTCGACTCAAAACACGGCTCATTTTGAGTCGACTCGAAACACGGCTCATTTTGAGTCGACTCGAAACACGGCTCATTTTGAGTCGACTAAAAAAAAAAGGATCCTCCTGCAGCAAGCGCCCTACTCTTCCAAATCCCACTCCCTCTTAGCATCATCCCCTCCCTTGCATCACCCCTTCCCCTTCACCACCTTCTCACCTTTCTCTCCACCTCGGTCCGTGCTCTCTCTGCTGCTCGCTTCTCTGCCTCCTTGCGCCGAATGTATTCGCTCTTCAGCCTGCCAATCATTGTGTTGAGTAGTGAGGGGTATGTAGGAGGAAGGGAAAGGGCAGTGGTGGGTGGGAGGTTAACACTCCTGAGAGGTGCCTCAGAATGAGGTCCTTGCCCTCTCTGCAGCTTGCTTCTCTGCCTCCTTGCGCCGAAAGTACTCGCTCTTCAGCCTGCCATTGTTTGTGTTGCGGGAAAGGGGAACACGGGGAAAAGAGTGCACCAGATATTCAAGGTGCATCAGATCAGAGTGTGGTCCGTGCCCTCTCTGCAGCTCGCTTCTCTGCTTCCTTGCGTCAAATGTATTCGCTCTTCAGCCTGCCGTTGATTGCAATAACGGGGGGACAGGAATGGGAGAATGTTTGAGGTGCCCCCAAAACACTACTCTGGCCTATCTACTCTGCTGGTTGCACCTCTGCCTAAGAGCGTCGGATGTACCAGCTCTTACAACCTGCCCATCCCCACCTCTCACTCACACGTGCACACCTCACCTGCCCATTCTCATCCCTCACCTACCCATCCCCACCCCCCTCATCCGCCCACAACGAATGTACTCGCTCTTCAGCCTGTCAGCCATTGTGTTGCACAATTGAAGCCGTGAGTTTTCCTATTGAGGCCATTGTGACAATTGAAGGGGGGAAGATGAGCCGTGAGTTTTCCAAGGTGGCTCCGCCAGAATACAATTGTTTCGCCATTGTGTTGCACAAACATGAGCCGTGAGTTTCCCACCTGTTCTTTCTCGTTTACGATTCTTGAGGCACCTAAGACAAAAGCATTGTAAGAAATCACAATGCTTCCACCCCTCACATGCCCATCCCCGCCCCTCACCTGCCCATGCGCTCCTCCTCCTGCCTCAGCTTCTCCTTATGAGCCAACACCGCCCGCCTGTCCATGGGATCACCCCTATACTCCCTAATCCACGGCACTAGTGAGTACCATCACTCTCTCACCCGCCCATTTCCACCCCTCACCCGTGCACCCCTCACCTGCCCATGCGCTCCTCCTCCTGCCTCAGCTTCTCCTTATGAGCCAACACCGCCCGCCTGTCCATCGGATCACCCTTATACTCCCTCACTTCCTCTGGCACTGCGAACAGAAACTCCACCTCCTCATCTGTATCACACTCCCCCTTCTCACTCCCTTTCTCACTCCCTTTCTCATTCCCCTTCTCCTTCTCTGCCTCGTTCTCCTTCTCCTTCTCTTTCTTCTTCCCTTTCCCTTTCCCTCCTGCCTCCTTTCCCTCCTCCTCCTTCTCCCCCTTCTCCTTCTTCTCCTTCTCCCGCCTCTCCCGCTCCATCCGCTCCATCCGCTGCTCCTCCTGCTGCTTCTTCACCTCCTCATTCCTCACCCTCCGCTCCTCCAGTACCTCAACGCTCCGCTTCTTCCCCAGGTCGATGCCAGCCTCCATGTTCTCTGCGAGCATCTCACGAGTCTCCTCGGAGTCAAGCACGTCAGAGAGCAGCAGGGAGAGCAGGGAGAGGTGCAGCCCGGGGGGGAGGCTGAGGGCAGGCCAGCAGGAGAGCGCGTGGGCGACGGCGGCGAGCAGAGGAGGCATGGGGCTCGCTCGGATCAGGTACCTGGTTTGGATTGTGATGTGTGTGTGTGGGGGGGAACGGGGGAGCGGAAGCAGGCATGATAATAGTGTTTCCGCCTCTTCTCGTCCCCAGGTCGATCCCGGCCTCCATGTTCTCTGCGAGCATCTCACGCGTCTCCTCGGCATCAAGCACGTCGGAGAGGAGCAGGGAGAGCACGCTCAGGTGCACCCCGGGGGGCAGGGCGAGCGCGGGAAGGCGGGAGAGAGCTTGGCTAACGGCGGCGAGCAGAGGAGGCATGGGGCTCGCTCGAATCAGATACCTGGTTTGGATTGTGTGTGTGGGTGGGGAGGAAAGGGAGAGAGGAAGCAGGCATGGGAATAGTGTTTCCGCCTCTACTCTTCCCCAGGTCGATCCCGGCCTCCATGTTCTCTGCGAGCATCTCGCGCGTCTCCTCGGCGTCAAGCACGTCGGAGAGCAGCAGGGAGAGCACGCTCAGGTGCACCCCGGGGGGCAGGGCGAGCGCGGGAAGGCGGGAGAGAGCTTGGCTAACGGCGGCGAGCAGAGGAGGCATGGGGCTCGCTCGAATCAGATACCTGGTTTGGATTGTGTGTGTGGGTGGGGAGGAAAGGGAGAGAGGAAGCAGGCATGGGAATAGTGTTTCCGCCTCTACTCTTCCCCAGGTCGATCCCGGCCTCCATGTTCTCTGCGAGCATCTCGCGCGTCTCCTCGGCGTCAAGCACGTCGGAGAGCAGCAGGGAGAGCACGCTCAGGTGCACCCCGGGGGGCAGGGCGAGCGCGGGAAGGCGGGAGAGAGCTTGGCTAACGGCGGCGAGCAGAGGAGGCATGGGGCTCGCTCGAATCAGATACCTGGTTTGGATTGTGTGTGTGGGTGGGGAGGAAAGGGAGAGAGGAAGCAGGCATGGGAATAGTGTTTCCGCCTCTACTCTTCCCCAGGTCGATCCCGGCCTCCATGTTCTCTGCGAGCATCTCGCGCGTCTCCTCGGCGTCAAGCACGTCGGAGAGCAGCAGGGAGAGCACGCTCAGGTGCACCCCGGGGGGCAGGGCGAGCGCGGGAAGGCGGGAGAGAGCTTGGCTAACGGCGGCGAGCAGAGGAGGCATGGGGCTCGCTCGAATCAGATACCTGGTTTGGATTGTGTGTGTGGGTGGGGAGGAAAGGGAGAGAGGAAGCAGGCATGGGAATAGTGTTTCCGCCTCTACTCTTCCCCAGGTCGATCCCGGCCTCCATGTTCTCTGCGAGCATCTCGCGCGTCTCCTCGGCGTCAAGCACGTCGGAGAGCAGCAGGGAGAGCACGCTCAGGTGCACCCCGGGGGGCAGGGCGAGCGCGGGAAGGCGGGAGAGAGCTTGGCTAACGGCGGCGAGCAGAGGAGGCATGGGGCTCGCTCGAATCAGATACCTGGTTTGGATTGTGTGTGTGGGTGGGGAGGAAAGGGAGAGAGGAAGCAGGCATGGGAATAGTGTTTCCGCCTCTACTCTTCCCCAGGTCGATCCCGGCCTCCATGTTCTCTGCGAGCATCTCGCGCGTCTCCTCGGCGTCAAGCACGTCGGAGAGCAGCCGGGAGAGGAGAGCACGCTCAGGTGCACCCCGGGGGGCAGGGCGAGGGAGGGCCAGCAGGAGAGGGCTTGGGTGAGGGCAGAAAGGAGAGGAGGCATGGGGCTCGCCCTGATCAGGTACCTGGTGGTGTGGGGGAAAGGGGGGCCAGGAGGTGGGGAGGAGGGAGAGGAGGCAGAGGTGCACCCCGGGGGGCAGGGCGAGTGCAGGCCAGCAGGAAAGCACGTGGGCGACTGCAGCGAGGAGAGGAGGCATGGGGCTTGCCCTGATTACCTGGATTGGTTGAGAGGCGGGGGAGGCGGGAGAGTGAAACAGTGGTAAAGGGCCAGCGAGAGAACGTGTGGGCGACAGCAGCGCGACGAGGAGGCAAACGGCTCACCTCGATCAGGTACCCCTGAGGGGGAGAGCGGGAGGATGGCTGGAGAGATCCTCTTAAATAACAATCCCTTCATACCTGCTAGCTCTTTTCCCTGCCCTCCCTCCATACCCCCTTCCCGCCCTCCTCCGTCCCCATTCCTCCCCACTTGAAGAGCCCTCAAGGAGCACACCCCCTCCTCAGACCCACCTGCGAATTATCTCCTGCCACGTGGCAGCATTCAGAAGCCTCTTCCACCGGTCCAGAACCTTCTGAGTCACGCCAATCCCCTCGTGCCCGCCCGGCACCTCCCTAGCCCCTGCCCCTGCCTGTCCTCTCCCCTACCCCTTCCCCCTTCCCTCCCCCCTCCCCAATTCTCCCCACTTAAACGAGCTCTCGAGCAGCAAACCCCTTTTCAGACCCACCTGCGAATGATCTCCTGCCACGTGGCAGCATTCAGAAGCCTCTTCCACCGGTCCAGAACCTTCTGAGTCACGCCGATCCCCTCGTGCCCGCCCGGCACCTCCCCGCCGCCCAGATTCAGCAGCGCCCGGAACAGCCCAACGTGCAGGTCGGACAAAACCAGCCACCCGGGCTCTTCGTCCGCTTGTGCGAGCGCGCGCGCGAGCTTGCGGAGGGGAACGGGGGAGATCTTGCCAAAGCGGTTGAACTCCCTGTGGAACTGGAAAACCTGTAAAACATCGCCCATAGACTGGGGTAGCAGGAGAGTGGGACCCTTAGAATGGGGTGGCAAGAGAGCAGGACCGTGGTTGACTTGCATTGACCGGTTGGAAGGGACCAATGCACCGAGGACATCTGAACTGGGGAGGAAGCTTCTTGTTGGCACCAAGGTAATCTGTGTTGGGCTGTCCTGTGAATGGGGTGTGTCCAATAGGTGGGTAGCTTTGGGAAGACCAATCGTGGCGCGCCGTTTCGCCATGTCAGCATCAACCATCCGGTCAATGACATCATCAGAATCTTCATCATCATCATCATCAACTTCATCAGCAGCATTGGAGCGATTCTCTTCTCCCTCACCCTCTTCCCGCTTCTCCTTCCCCTCCTCATCCCCACCCTCCTCCTCCTTCACTCCTTCGTCCACCATCCCACCATCACCATCACCACCATGAGCCGTGCCAGCCTGTGCATCTCTCTCAACCGCATCAGACCCACCTGCACCAGCGTGCATCCCCCACTGCCGCTGGGCCTTCCCCCACAGGGAGAGATCCAGAGGCGCGTCCAGGCCCAGGGCGATTTCAGCCAGCAGAGGAGTGGGGCGTGGGGGTCGTTGGGGCAGTGTGAGTGCGAGTGCGGGTGCGGGAGAGGGAGTATGAGGCTGAAGAATAGATTGGAAGGGGAGGGCTCCTGAGGGTAGTGAAGCAGCAGCAGCAGCAGCAGCAGCAGTGGCCGTGGCAGTGGCAGTGGTAGCATCTGGGGCAGCAGCTGGGGAAGCTGGTGTGGCACCAGTGGTAGCTGCAGCAGCAGCACCAGCAGGAGCACCAGCAGCACCAGCAGCAGCAGCGGCGGCAGCGGCAGCGGCAGCAAGAGCAGCGGCCAGCTCTCGCCTCTCCTCCTCTTCCACCTCCAGGTCTTCAATCGGGTACTGCCGCTTGCGCTGCTGCTGCTCCCTCTCCCTCTCCCTCTGCTCCCTCTCCCTCTCCCTCTCCCGCTGCTTCTGCAACTTGCGCTCCTGCGTTGCATTCAACAGGGATGCATGCCACAGGGAAGGCGAGGGATGCACAGGGATGCAAATGGATGCACAGGGATGCACAGGGAGGGGTCAACTATATAGGCGCATCACGAAGGATGCATTTGGCAAGGATGAACCAACACCTTTCCATTCCCCTCTCAAGAACTATGACTCCAATGATGATCATGGGATAAGAACACGAGTGCAGCACAGTGTGTTGTTGATTTCCCTATTCTGAATCCGTCTTAACCCTGCTTACCTCGTCTGCTTTCCTCTGCTCCTCCTTCTGCTGCTGTTTTGCTTGGCTGTGTCTCGGGTTTGGACACGAAGAATGGGGAAACAATAAAATATTAGACGAACAAAAACGGGGAAATAGGAGGAAAGCAGAGGACTGCACGAGATGAAGGAAACGATGGTTTTTAGCGTTTTGGGTTTAGTCCCAAAACTCTAAACTTGAGACGCCTCAAAACAAAAAAAGGAAGGGCTAGGAGGGAAGGGAGTGGGAGGTGTGTGCTGCCAACTATGAAAAAGTATTGAGCGTGAATGAGCCATGCAGGCACTTGGCATCACAGCAACACCCTCCAGTGAAGTCCACTCAGATTTCGAACCCTAGCCAAGGTGAGACGTTTTTTCAATCAAGAAACGGCGACACCCACCTTCGCCAGCAGACGGGACAAAGCAGAGCCTGCCCTCCTCCTTCCTTTCCTCCTTCCTTTCCTCCTTCCTTCCCTCCCTCCTTCCCTCCCTCCTTCTCTCCCTCCTTCTCTCCCTCCTTCTCTCCCTCCTTCTCTCCCTCCTTCTCTCCCTCCTTCTCTCCCTCCTTCTCTCCCTCCTTCTCTCCCTCCTTCTCTCCCTCCTTCTCTTCGCCTCCTGGAGTTGCTACAGGACGCGGCTCACTCTTCTCTGCTCCAACCTGCGACCCTTGGGCTTGTGACTCTGATAGCTGTGCCGCTGGCGGCAGCATGGCAGCAGGCAGGCAGGGGAGGTGGAAGGCGCGAGGGCAGGAGGAGCAGGAGAGCAGCAGGGGGACGTTGTCCTTGCTGACCTTGCGCTTGCACACACTGCGGAGGAGGGGGGGAGAGGGGGGGGGATGGGAGGCGCAGGGAAAGGAGGAGGAGCAGATGAGCAGAAGGGCGTTGTCCCTGTGGACCATTGCGCTTGCACACACTGGGGGGGAAGGGGGGAGAGGGGGGAGAGGGGGGAGAGGGGAGGGGAAGGAAACATGGGAGGAGCAGGGGAAACAAAAGGAGGAGCACATGAGCAGAAGGGCGTTGTCCCTGTGAATGAACCTTGCACTTGCACAAACTGAGGAGGAAGGGGGGGGGGGGACAACGGGGGAAAAGGGGGAAAATCAAGGAGGTGCGGAAGGGGCATGTGGGGAATGTGGAGGGGACATGTGCAGCGACATAGAAACAGGTCGCAAATTCACTCACGGGCATCTACCATTGGGAAGAGAGGGGTAGCTCCCTCTCCCTCCACGCCTTCCCCTCCTAATTTTGAGTCCTGACTCAAACCGACCTCCAACGGAACTAGGGTAGGGAGGGACACAAATCGAGTGGCGAAACTCAAACACGTGGCATAGCACTTACTGGCATTTCCCTGTGGGAGCCGCTCCCTCTCCCTCCTCGCCGCCTATCGCCACCACTCCATCTCCTCCATCCTCCTCCTTCCCCCTCTTCTGCTGCTTCTGCGCCCCTGCTCCACCCTTCTCCACACCATTTCCCACCGAGGCCTTCCGCTTTTTTGACTCTCCTGCTCCATCTGCTCCTACCCCTCCCATCCGCCCCTCTCCACCACCACCACTACCATCCACCCCGCCCGCCTCTCCATCCTTGCTCCGTCCCTTCCCCTTGCCCTTCCCAGGGCTTTTCCTGCTGGGACCGAATCCATACTTGGAGCGCAGGTCACTAGCAACAGTCCACTCGTTATCCTGCAGCAGGCTGCGAGAGGCGAAGTGGGTGAGCCACGCACTGATGGGCTTCTTGCCAATGTGGATGCTGCGAGCAGGGAGAGGAGGGTTGAGCACGGTATCACAGGGCGAGAAGTGGGAGGTGAGGGGGCGAGAGGTGAGAAGGCGAATCGAGTGAGCCACGCACTGATGGGCTTCTTGCCAATGCGGTTGCTGCGGAAGAGGGAGAGGGAAGAGGATGTCAGAGAGCGATGCAAGACCAGAGGGGATGAGAGTTGAGGAGGGTGAGCTGATAGGCTGGAAGCAGAGGGGTAAGGAGCAGAGGGGTGGGAATGCCTAAAGTCAATCGAATGGCAACAATCTGGTTCAACACGTGAACACACCCAACTTCTTTCATGATTCCTCTTGTGCTCAGCTCCTTTGAGACATCTCAAAAGTGGGGTGGGCATGCAATAAGTCAATGAAATGGCAACAGTTTGGTTCAACACAGTATGGATCAACACGTGAACACACCCAACTTCTTTCATGATTTTACTTGTGCTCACCTGCCTCTCTCGGCTTGTGCATCTTGGATCGCCGTTACAAGTGCACCCTTGCTCAGCTTGCCTGAAACGTCAATCACATCAAATCAGATTAACACAGGGAGGTTGCAGCGACTTAGAAACATTAAGAGTGCATCCACACTCTGCTTGCCTGAAACATAAAATCCTAGATCGGATGAAAGGTTAAGAATCAGTTTAGAAACGTGACTTGTGCAACCTTACACCATGTCCTAGAGATGTATAAGAAGAAACAAAAAACATGGGAGGCGCCTCACCATGTCCTTTAAATGTATAAGAAGAAGAAGAGAAGAAGAAGAAGAAGAAGAAGAAGAAAAAAAAAAAAAAAAAAAAAAAAAAAAAAGGCGCCTCAACAGCCTTACTCCATGTGCTTGAGATGTATATATAAAAAAAAACAGAACAAACCAGAGCAAACCAGATCACATCACATCAGAACGAATCAGATCGCATCGATCTCGAATTACGTCAACACAAAGTCATTATGTTGTTGGTTCCTATCTGAGCACCTTTGGCCCGTGTGCCAGAGACACAAAGCAGGCAAACAGAATCAAAGTGAGACCGGATGGCTAACGTGCTTCCAGAAGCATCGTGTTACACCACCAACAGCAGTAGATAAACGCATCCTGAGACCTCTCAGAACATAGCACGATCCGCAATGTATAAGCGTGTTCTAAGAAGTCTCAAATCATGCCACCAACCAAAGCTGATCAAGGAGATCTCACAAGGTGAAACACCAATCGTACCGAAAACGAAATGCCTTACTTTTGTGCACAATAGGGATGGCGATCTTGTGAAACCAGTCCGGCAGATCCCTGTAACCCGACTGCTTCAGCCGCTTCTTCCCCTCAACCGCATCTGTCTCGCTATTGAGCGCCTCTTCATAAGTCAACCCGCTCTGACCCGTCTCGGTACACGTCCATATACGCTGCTTATAGCGTCGAATGGCGGAAAGATAGTCCCTGATCAGCAGGTTGCGGGGAGCACGAAAGTGGGAAGGACGGAAGTGGTATTTTTGGAAAATTGTTTGGAAGGCCAAGCGTTGGGAATAAGTCAGCTTCTACCATTTTCTAGAACGGAAGGGATAAAGAATCACGGTATAACTAAGAATCGGAACCAGTTACAAAGAGGATACGGTATCAAGGCATCCGGGAGCCGAATCTCTCTCATGTCCTTGCCAATGCGATTCTACTAAACAGACGGCCGCAAGACGAACGAGACGCGGTGCTACGCAGCTTTCGGCCGAAAACAACGAATTCGGGTGGTCGAACTAGAATTAGGGTTTTCTTAGACATGTTCAGGCCAGGATCAGAGAAATTGGCGCAATGCTCACTCGTAATTGCGAAACGCTTCTCTCGTGAACCTGACGATAAACAGCTGCTCGTTATCCTCCGAGTCCGCAGGTGGCTGGGCTAAGGGATGTAATTTTCCGCCTAGTAGCGGCATTGCGGGCAGACTAAAACCCGAACATAGAAAACTACAAGAAGCGACGGAAGTGGAGAGGGGAAAGAGAAAGAGTTCAGGATGGAAAACGAGAAAGAACGAAAGATGGAAGGACGGGAGCAATATCAAGGCTGGGCCAGCGAGGTGTTTTCAAATTCGAACAAGCACCAATATTCGCGATTCGCGAAAGCGATCTCAAGACGTGTTCATGGAAATCATTGCACACCAAAGCTGTCTTTTCGCAAAGGGGTGACATTTTCGCGGATCAAATTTCGGCAGCCAATTTTGGGGTCCACAAGGGTATTTTTTCTTCGTCAAAACAGGCTATGATGCTGTAAGGGTGTGGTTTGTCCACCTGTCGCCTTTCGATTAGCCGCGCTTATTGAGAAGGTTTGTGGCTGTCAGGCATGAGTTCCGCCCTGGTCTCCGGGCGTACCCGTTTGAAAATTGATTCATATTCCTTACAAACCACTCAAGCTCATCTGAAAGTACCATGCAAGCATTTACCTGCTTCACTCCAGTCAGCTTTGTTTCGAAAACTCCAATATCCCGAATCTCAATGTTCAATCCGATCATCCCAACGCTCCAAAAGTGTCGAGCACATTTCGTCCACTGATCGCTCAGTCCGGTTCAGAAGGTTTACACATGGTATAACGAGGTTCTGGTTTACCACCGTTCTTCACCATAACGTGCCGAACAAAGTCACAGTGGACTCTCCAAGCCTGTTCAATCTTCCTTGATCCAACTCTCCTTGAAACAAATCCTTGACGATCCCAAGGCTCCCTCCCGCTCCCGTTTTCAGCTTCGCCATCGCATGTTGAATCAGATAAACGAGCGGAGAAGATGACTCCATAAAATTCTCAGCTTCCCCACGAAGTTTACGAATTCCTGTTGATACCTTCACCAGGGAATGAAGACGCACTCGCACGACACCGTTCGCATGATCGGATGATTCGAAATTCATCCCGAGGTCAGTTCCTAGTCTCCTCTTCTCGGTTCCCTATAGGCTCCTCCTCAGTTTCGACATGCCTCTTGTCCCATTTTTGTTCGCATTACAACGCTATTAGCAATCACCACCAAGAAGTAATCGCAGCTTCCATTTTCCGCTTCCCTCTCCGTGCTGCCGCTTCTCTCGCCTCAAATCCGCCAGGCTCCAGCCTCCACCTGGCTGTACCCCTCAACCCGACCGATCGACCTTCGCCACGCGACAGTTCAATGTCGCAGCTGCTGTCGCAACCCTCGTCGCAGAGCCCATGGTCGTCGCAGCACCATCATGCGCGAGGATTGTGGCGAGCAATCGTCGCGAGCAAAACGGATTGGTTGCTGTTCCTCGCATTGCTCCCAGTCAACATCGCTCTCTCCCTCTACTTACCACCTTATCAGCGTTTCATCCCACCCGAAAGCCTTCACGCTCCGCGTTATCCCGTGGTTGATAACACAGGGGCAACCTTTTTTACGGTACGTCCTATCACCATCGCCTCTCTCCCTCTACTTACCTCCTTATAACCGCTTCATCCCCCCTTCAAGCCTTCATTCCTTGCTGATAACTCTTCAAGACAACATATCACCATCGTTTGTTCTCTCGCTTTACTCCTTATAGGCTCTTCATTCATCTTGAAATTCTCCTGTCTCCACTGTTTACGCTACCCACCTCCCCCTCATTCCCCCCGCTGATTGCTGCAGGCAGGCTGTTTCGCTGCTGGCTTTTGAGTCGACTCACACAAGCCACTTCACCCTGCCCCATTCCTCCTCATCCCACCCGAGCCTGATTGCTGCAGACTGCTTCAGTGTTGGCTCCCCTCCTGGCTTTCCTGCTGGTGCTGTTGCTTGAAAGCCTTCACTCTCCACTCTTCGCTTCGCCCTTCCCCTCCCCGCGGGTCTGATTGCTGCAGACTGCTTCGGTGTTGGCTCCCCTCCTTGCTTTCCTACTGGTGCTGCTCCCTCAAAGGAACCTGCTCGAGCTGCACAAGTCCATACTCGGTACAAGCTAGACCACAAAACGCACAGGTCCATACTCGTTACAAGCAGCACCAATACTGGTTCCCCCGTTGCATTCCCCTTCCTGCACTGACTTCCGTTCTCTTTCTTTCTCCCGCATCCCTTGCCTTCCTCCCTTCGCTCACAATCCCTCCCCTCCCGTCACCATCCGTCACCGTCCCTCACCGTCTCCCACATCACATTATGCCCCATACTGCGATGCAGGGCTGTTCTCAGCCGTGCAGACCACCTGGCTCGCTGCTACTCTCCTCCAGTGTGCCATCGGCCGGCCCATTCCTTGAATCAACACCCCCTTTCCCTCACCGCCCCCACATTGACTCGCAGGGCTGTTTTCAGCCATGCAGACCACCTGGCTAGCTGCTACTCTCCTCCAGTGTGCCATCGGCCGGCCCCCCCTTGACACCTCCGCCCTTTCCCTAACTCCCTCCCATCTTCCCCCTATCATGCCCCATACTGCACCACAGGGCTGCTCTCAGCAGTGCAGACCACCTGGCTAGCTGCTACTCTCCTCCAGTGTGCCATCGGCCGGCCCCCACTTGGCACCTCCGCCCTTTCCCTCACCTCCCCCCCCCCCGCCCTCTCCATCTTCCCCCTGTCATGCCCCGTACTGCATCACAGGGCTGCTCTCAGCCGTGCAAACCACCTGGCTAGCCGCTACTCTCCTCCAGTGCGCCATTGGCCGGCCTCGCCCCAGCTTCCTCTCAGCCTGCTTACAAGGCACCCAACCGGTGCGGTTTCTACCCCCCTTGCATTGCCATGTTCGTGTCCTATTGTCACCTGCTGCTGTTTTGAGACGTCTCAAAACACTCCTTTTTTCACAAGGCACCCAACCGGTGCGGTTTCTACCCCCCTTGCATTGCCATGTTCGTGTCCTATTGTCACCTGCTGCTGTAAAATATAATCCTGAACTTCCCATTATTCTCCTGAGCTTCCATCATCACACCCTGCATTGCACTCTCATCACCATCTCCTCTCCTTTCTTCCCCCCATCCATTCTCCTACACGATCCTTCCAGGTGGTTTCGCCTTCAGGGGGTGTCACCTGTGTGCCACCTCCCACCGACCTCTACTATTTCCGCAAGAGCTTCCCATCCACGCAAGCCACCTCTGGCGCGTGCCAGCTGTCGCGTGGCCATTGGCCCTTGCGGCTAGTGCGGGGCTTGCTGACCTGGACACGTACAGCAACGCGCCAGGAGACATTCTTGCTGGCGTGGCTCTAGGTGAGTGCGACGTCTTGGGACGTTCTTGAGACGTTCTTGAGACGTCTCTAAACTCGATGGGCTAGATGGGCTGGTTTTGACGCGTGGTGGGTGCGTGGTACAAGTGTGGCTCACACCCCTGGGGACACAAGTCCTGGACAAATACAGCAACGCACCTGGGGACATTCTTGCTGGCGCAGCTCTAGATGAAGCGGTCTCACGCAACTAGGGAGGTGCGTGCGTGGGCGCGTGGGTGGGTGGTGAGAGTGTTGGCTTGTGTATGCTGGGTGCACATCGCGCCTGGAAGCATCCTTGCTGGCGTTGCGCTAGGTGAGGCGGGCATGAGGCCATGGCATACAAATGGGGCTGCATGGCACACATCGCTCACTAGAAGCTCGTCCATCTCCCTTTGCTTTCAAGCTTGCAGACTTCTATGATGTTCCTCGCCCCTCTCTCTCCCTTTTCTCCCCGCAGGAACCCTCGTGGCAGTCATTGCTTTCTGGAGGTTCTTTTCAGCTCCTTGCCGTGGCTTTGAGTCGAGTGAGTCACTTCAAAACCAGCAACCCCGTCCCTGTCAGTGCCCATACCGTTTCCAAGTGTGCTCTTTGCTGATTCTTGTTCGCCTTTCATTTGGTTTGTCTTTTAGTTGTTTCTATCTCATTTGTTTTGCCTTCTACTTGTATTCGATCTCCTTCTATTGATTCACATGCGTATCATCCTTTCCCAACCCATCCCCCTCCTCCCTTCAACCTCCACAGGGGTATCCCCATGGCTGGGCTTCGAGACACTCAGGGACGGCTCACCCCCACCCAAACCTCCCTCTGCTGCCACCCCCACTTGAGTTTTGCTAACACGCATCTTCAAGTGCTACTGATTCCCACTACCCCCCCTCCCCTTCAATCGTCCACAGGGGTATCCCCATGGCTGGCCTTCGAGCTACTCAGAGACGGCTCGCCCCCACATGAACCTCCCTCTGCTGAAACCAATCTTGAAATTCTAGTGCCAGCCTGTGCCGTTACAGTACCGCCTACAGCACTTGCTACAGCAGCTGTAGCGGCAGCAGGCAGGGGCACAGCAGGGGCACAGGAGACGCATCAGCAGATAATTTAAGTGGGAAGGGAGGCTAGTGATGGGCTAGGAAAGGAGTGGTTGCCAGTGACCATTTGAGCTGCCGAGCCAGCAGTGGGCTGCCGAGCCAGCAGTGGGCTGCCGAGCCAGCAGTGGGCTGCCGAGCCAGCAGTGGGCTGCTGAGCCAGCAGTGGGCTGCCGAGCCAGCAGTGGGCTGCTGAGCCAGCAGTGGGTTGCCGAGCCAGCAGGGGGCAGCAGCAATGGCAGAAGGAGCAACTACAGCATTCACTGCTTTCAGGGGAGGGATGGAGAGAAGCAGAGGCACCTTGGGAAGGTTGGAACTTTGTTCTAACTGTCTTCGAACCAAGGCAGCCTGCTAAATGCCATCCAGATTCAGTGTCATTTTGAATGCGTTAGGGTTATAATTGCAGGAGGGGGGTGGTGTGGGTTCCGTTGTGCAGAGGCAGCAGCAGGAGAGACCACAGGAGCCAGCCACTCGAAAAAGCTGTTACGGTATGAGACATCAGAATTGGACATCTCCGAAGAAACATGCACGAAGGTTAGTGAATGCATCGTTTTGCAACACCATGTACTGCAATCCTACTCCAATTGTAGTGCCATGAGGTGATCTAAACAATACGTGTTATTAGTTCCACGTTTTTCTTTTGTTGAACAACATGGCCATATTCATGTAGACACGAAGGCTCTCACGAACAGATATAATAATTGGAGAGGAAAAAGTCACACTACATCTTTATAATTTACAAGGGATGGGAGGCATCGTCGCACCCAGAAAAACACCAACAGAAGCTGCTAGACATGAGACGGGCTTAGCACATGACCTTGAAAGCACTCAAGACCAAAGTACTGTCTCCGTTCACGCAGAACAGAGAGCAAAACTTGAGGATATGGAAACCATGAGCGGCGATACGAAGTTCCTCGGAAACCATAGATTATGAACCACCGCGGAAACGGACGTCATCCTTCAGCTACCGAGGCAGCACGCGATTAATGGAAGACCGCAGTGCGCTGGCCATGCTGCCTCGAGAGATGTTGCATGCTAACCAACGACAGTGACAGCCGTAGTAACAGTTGCATAGAACCCCACGAGAAGAACAACCGCCATAATCGCCATAACGGCTGGAAGGTAGTCAAACACTCGAGCTCGAAGCTGTCAGTGAAGCGGAAATTCAAGAAACGCGTCACAGCTCTTGGACAGGAGAGATGATGATAGTAAGAGCTTATAAAAGCAGGGACTAGGGTTTCGTCAATGGCTTCTTGCACTGTGGAGCAGTCTGGGTTTTATGTTCACGCATGAGCTCGGCTGTGAGGCATGTGGAAAATATTTTTCGGTTGTGAAGATGGGAAGGTGGGAAACATTTTGCAGCCGTGGGAAGCCAAGAACACAAAACCGACGTGCAACTCTGGCTTTTGATTGGCTGGAAGTTTCAAAATCAGTCGCTCATACGTGAATTTGCCCGGCCGAGAACATTCCGGAAGCACAAAATAATATCGCCAGAAAGAACAAAGAAGCAATGTTGAGTCCGGTGTTGGACGGTTAAGTGAAGAACAAAAAATATATGTTGAGTTCGGTGTTGGACGGTGAAGTGAAGTGGCATTGGCCACAAGTTGCGGCATCATTCAGCTCGAGGGACGGTCGGATCTGTATAGCCAGTTGTTCCGTGGGTAAACCTGGACGGGCTCGCGCCTCGCATATGATTGGTGCCGTGACGTTTCATTGAATGGACCACTCATGCACGCACGACTCATCAGAATTTCAAAAGCCAGGCACTGAGAGTGTCCATACGCGATAAGACTAGTGCTTATCACCGCCGTTCAATAATACTACAAACGATATACATATTGTGCAAAATCAGCAGCATTCTGCAATATACCAAGTATTAAACCAACGAGTTACTACACGAACTGCAATTCCTCCATTATCTAATGACCCTCTCCCTTTCTTGTACACAAAATTCTCCACGACAGCCCTACTATCAAGATGTTGACAGCTGTACACCTATTTACATGTAAACCCATTTCCTACACCAGCCAAAGAAAAATCACAATGTCTTCACCTCCACCTCCTCCTCGACGCCAGTATCATCGATGAGAGGAAGCTGTGCCGGCCCACCCTCGGGATGAATGGAGGCGGAAAACGGCTGCTTGACAAAGAGGCGGGTGGCATGGCGTGTGTTCATGACTGAGTGAATAGACCTCGCCACTTTCAGCACCAATGCATCTGCGTCACACTCCAGTGCTGCTGTGAGCATCTTGATCCAAGTCTCTGCCAAATCACACAGTGGGAGAACAAAATGATTAAACAACTTCCTTTGACGAGTGGTTTGCAGAAAAAAAAAAAAAAAAAAAAAAAAAAAAACACACACACACACATTATCTCCATCATCCTCACCATCCGATACTCATCAATCCACACCGCAAATCCCACCTCATCATTGCAATCCACAAAATCAAGGAATCTCCATTACCTGGTGTAGGCTCGAGCTGCTCCTCACACAGCTTCTGCAGCGCAAACACCTCGTACTGCAGTGATGATGGGTGCAGAGGGGCAGAGGGAGAGAGTGCAGGGATGAAATAGCACGGCAAACGATTGAGTGGGCTAGTGTAGGCTCGAGCTGCTCCTCACACAGCTTCTGCAGCGCAAACACCTCGTGCTGCAGTGATGAAGGGTGCAGAGCGGCAGAGGGGAAAAGTAAACGGAAGGAGAGAGGGGTGGCTTAGGAGTTGGGGTTTGCTGTGGGCTCGAGCTGCTCCTCACACAGCTTCTGCAGGGAAAACACCTCGTACTGCAGCGATAGTAATGGGGCGGAAAGAGCAGGGAGTAGAGGTTATACTTGGCTTGGGGTCTAGCCAGGAAAAGGAATAGCCAGGCAAAGGGGGAGGTAGACTTGGCTTGGGATCTAGGGAGAAACGGGGTTGGGGTAGGCGATAGGGGAATTAGCAAAATGAATGGGACGCTGCCAGCTGGAATTTGGAAACTAGAAGTGTGTGAGAAGAATGGCATGATCTGTACATGCCACATGCTAAAATGTTTCAACCTTGTACGAGTTCACAAGAATGTCCCAAACTCCATGACTGGTTTGACTTGACCTGACTTTGGACTTGACTCTTTTGAGTCCCATGCTGAATGTGAAAGTTCACAAACGTGTTTTCAGAAGTCCATGACTGCGTTGACCACGTTGACTGGCCCCTTCTTGACCTCACCCTGTGCGCAGCCAGCAGCAAATCAACCCCTCTGTCCCTGCTGACGCGCCCGGTTTACATAACTGCCTTGACCACGTTGACTGACCCCTTTACCCAACTCACCTGTTGTGCAGCCAGCAAGAGAGGAGATCAACCCCTCGGTGCCCCATCAACTACCTGCTCACGTGGCCGGAGTACAGAAGCGTTGACTGGCCCCCATCACCCACTCACCTTGTGAGCAGGCAGCAGCAAAGTCAATACTCCTTTCCTAAACAGTGCTTCCATCCCATGACTCCCCCCATGGCCCGTGTACAGAAACCCCATGACCGCCTTGACCACGTTGACTCAGCCCCCCTCACCCAGCTCACCTTATGAGCAGCCAGCAGCAAGTCAACCCCTCGGTGCCCCATGAACTCCCTGCTGACGTGGCCAGTGTACAGAAACTCCATGACTGCCTTGACCACGTTGAACGAGGCGTCTGTGATCTCCAGCCTGCCCGGACTCACTGTCGCCGCCTTTTCAAGCTCAAACTTGAACCTCTGCACATGCATGTGAAGCAGGAGGAGAGAGAGGAAAGGTAAACACGTTCGCTTCCTCAAGCTCACTTGAACCTTCTGCTCACTTGAACCTTCTGCTCACTTGAACCTTCTGCTCACTTGAACCTTCTGCTCACTTGAACCTTCTGCTCACTTGAACCTTCTGCTCACTTGAACCTTCTGCTCACTTGAACCTTCTGCTCACTTGAACCTTCTGCTCACTTGAACCTTCTGCTCACTTGAACCTTCTGCTCACTTGAACCTTCTGCTCACTTGAACCTTCTGCTCACTTGAACCTTCTGCTCACTTGAACCTTCTGCTCACTTGAACCTTCTGCTCACTTGAACCTTCTGCTCACTTGAACCTTCTGCTCACTTGAACCTTCTGCTCACTTGAACCTTCTGCTCACTTGAACCTTCTGCTCACTTGAACCTTCTGCTCACTTGAACCTTCTGCTCACTTGAACCTTCTGCTCACTTGAACCTTCTGCTCACTTGAACCTTCTGCTCACTTGAACCTTCTGCTCACTTGAACCTTCTGCTCACTTGAACCTTCTGCTCACTTGAACCTTCTGCTCACTTGAACCTTCTGCTCACTTGAACCTTCTGCCCACTTGAACCTTCTGCTCACTTGAACCTTCTGCTCACTTGAACCTTCTGCTCACTTGAACCTTCTGCTCACTTGAACCTTCTGCTCACTTGAACCTTCTGCCCACTTGAACCTTCTGCTCACTTGAACCTTCTGCTCACTTGAACCTTCTGCTCACTTGAACCTTCTGCTCACTTGAACCTTCTGCTCACTTGAACCTTCTGCTCACTTGAACCTTCTGCTCACTTGAACCTTCTGCCCACTTGAACCTTCTGCTCACTTGAACCTTCTGCTCACTTGAACCTTCTGCTCACTTGAACCTTCTGCTCACTTGAACCTTCTGCTCACTTGAACCTTCTGCCTCACTTGAACCTTCTGCTCACTTGAACCTTCTGCTCACTTGAACCTTCTGCTCACTTGAACCTTCTGCTCACTTGAACCTTCT